TGAACATTCTCTGATCATTAGAACAATCATTACTATCATGTGGATAAGTTCCATGTTGTTAGATCTGTCATGTAAATCCCTTTTGATCATTTGAAGTAATTTTCATTAAAAAAAATGATCTTCAAATCTTTGATTAAAAGATCTTTCCCCCCAACATTTTAAAACTGGATCCACAATAAAATATGGGTAATGACTGACAGAAACATTAGTATCACCTGATTAGCTGGTAACATAGTATATAAATATAGGAATGAAACTTTTCCCAAGGGGAATGTAAGAAGTTGCATTTCATTAAAGGACTAGAGTTCAGTGGCCACTTATTTTACATGAAGAATGTCCCAGGTTCAATTCCCAGCAAATCCAAACAAGACTGGAGTCATTCTAGGATGACATTCTGGAGCATCACCACTAGTCAATCATTTGGTCCAGAAGAAAGAACTTTCTTTGTTTTTACAATGCTACGAAGCCTGTCCTGTTGGGCTACATTGATGGCATTGTTGAGGACAGGTGAAATCAACTGAGATGTGAGAAAACACATGGATGATATACCTCAATACAGAAGTGAGCATCCAAAATTGGTGCAAAAACCAGCACTTTTTTTTCATGAACTGAAAGTTTTTTTCATAGCCGAAAATGTTTTGTAAAGAACTGTGAATGGTTCAGATTCAGATATCCTGTCCAGCTGTATACTGTATTTCCAGTATGATAGAGTGAAGACCATCTTTCTACAACTCAGCTAAATCATCCTTCTCATGCAGTGTTTCTCAACCTTGGCAACTTAGGACTTGTGGACTTCAACTCCCAGAATTCCCCAGCCAGCAAGGCTGGCTGGGGAATTCTGGGAGTTGAAGTCCACAAGTCTTAAAGTTGCCAAGGTTGAGAAACACTGGTCTCTAATGTTTGAACTGGCACAATACTGCTTAGTTCTGAGAAGCGCAAAGCAGCACCCATCTGAACTGGCTGATAAACTACTAGTAGTTTAGCTTCTTCTCCCGGAACCCAGCATGTGTCACCATTAAATTACTTTAAAAGATTAATCATCAGTATTTTCTTATCAGCATAATTAGGTGTCCCAATCACTTCAAGGAAACCATTCCCAGTCAATTCTAATGAACGAATGGCTTCTGAAAACGAGAAGTGACTGTTCATCATGTTCAAAGCAAAAGTTCATTATTAGCAAAAGCACTCTTGCCTTTTCTTTTCGCTTCTAATGAAAAGATTACTTTCCCATCTAGTTTCAACAACTTAATAACT